AGGCAAAATTGGACTTGGAGTGGGTACGCTCTCCCGTACGATCAAAAGTCACACTTTCTCACCTTCTATTAGAACAAACAAAAAAATGTAAAGGAAAGTTAATTTCCTCTACAACCCTAATTTTTAATTAGTAAACTATAATTTTTTTTTAGCATTTATGATTTTGCTTAACCACATATTGTCATGTGATAGAAAATGGTGGATTGAATAATGGATGGAGTAGTGATGGTGGTCGTGGTGGTGGACATGACCAAGTAGGTTGGGGTTATTATGTTAAACCCAATACTAATTGATTTATCCTATATTTTCATATTTGTTAAATTTTCAAGTTGGAGATAATATTTACTTTTTGGTTTTAATTTGGTTGTTTTCCTGAAAAAAGATAAAATGTAATTCTTCTCTTGAAATTTAGTGTTTGAAATTCTATTGAGTGCCTACAGGAGAATCTGATATTTACCTATAAGATATTTTTTCTTGTGATAGATCGTAGAAATGTGCATCATGGTCGTTACACCTCTAATATAGCCTATACAATACAATATTGTAATGTAAGTATGTAAAAACAAAAAAGCATAAACCAAGAAACTAAATCTATTTTGTAGCTTCTATATATCCTATGATCGCACTCAAATCTGATAATCTTATGATCATTATGTTTAAATGAATAAGGGGGTGTTTTAAGCACTCTTCTTTAGGTATTATTTTGCCTTCAAATATTAATCCAAACGATAGGTTTGAAAATATACTACATTTATACATTGTTCTTTAGTATGCATTGAAGATATAATGAACATAATCACTATTAGCATATTCCAAGTAGTTGACTGTCCTGCTGAGTTGTCATGCTCCATTTGTTCTTAAGTAATGTTGCTTAAGGTGTTAAATCTATTGTGTGTAATATTTTTTGCATAATTTTGATTCTTATTATCTTTGTTTTACCCATGTTTCTTCTAATCAAATGGCACTAATTTTATTTACTTGTCTTATGGTTTATTTTTATTTACTTGTCTTATGGTTGTAGCATTTAGTCCTATTTATACATTTGTAGCCTCTTTAAGTTTATTCTCCAAAATCGTGTCTTAACTAAATGATATTCTCATCCTTCATATAATATTGTCATTCTTTAATCCATATCATTTGTTGTTTATTGTTACTTTAGTTCATTAATTGAGGGTCAAAATAACACGTCATATAATATTATCATTCTTTAATCCATATCATTTGTTGTTTATTCTTAAGTTTATTCTCCAAAATCGTGTCTTAACTAAATAATATTCTCATCCTTCTTTAATCCATATCATTTGTTGTTTATTCATATATCCATCTTAAGTTTATTATTTATATCATTTTTAACTTTTTAGTGACCCAACATTTTGATTGATGTGAAATTGTTTGTTTAATTGTTGTTTTATAAAATTTAAATTTATGCATTCATGATATTCTGTTATTCTCCAGATCCACTTTCTATTTTAGCTTTCTTATTTGAACTTTTGGAGTTATATCATTATTCATCAAAATAATAGATCAAGCCATTTGAACCTATTAAGCATAGATATATCATTATCATTTAAGAATATTGATTATTAAATCCTAGTATCACACCTACTAAAAATTGCATATTATATATCACTCATAAGCCTTTTATATTTCAAACATTTTCTTCATTGGTTTAAATTTTCACTTTTTTTAGAAGTTTTATCTATTTCGTTGCACACATTAAGAAGTTGCATCTAAGCATTTCAATTTGAGTATCCTTTGTAAGCATCTCAATGGCTAATGTGAAAAGATAGATAATTAATTTTAATCCTTAATGTAGCTTTACTGTAATTAAGACTTCTTTGGTCAATCCACAAGTAATACTATCAATATTTTATTGTGCATGCCTTTAATAACTTGGAAGATAAATTTGGCACATTTTTTTTTAATTCAAACCAAATCAAATCTTGCAGTATTCAATCATAAGCTTTCTCATGATACTTAAGGAAATATAAGGATGCTTTATCTTCTTTTTATACTTTTCCATAAATTCTGAAGGCCACACATGTGACTAGAGAAAATAAATATGTAATGATATTCTAGGGTTTAGTTTCCAACTCAAAGAACATTCATATACCTGACCTTCCAACATTTTATTGTGTTAGCATAAATAACTAGCTCATAATGGATCTTCTTTCCATGAAATATACAAAGATTTATTTATCGATTATCAAGCCTGAATAACTTTTCCCTCATACAAAATTCTATGGCAATAACATGCACCTATAAATGAATTCACCCATGAAGGATTAATGCACGTAATCATGAAGTCACCACACTTAGTGTTATAATCATATGATTAGTCCAACCAACGTAATCATTGTCAAGTTAGGGCACAATCAATGATGTGTTGGCAACATTAGATAATCACATAGCCTAGGTTGAATAAGTCAGCTCACAAAGGATCGCACTCCCATATGCACTCTATTGAGCTGTGCTTTCAAACACCATAATACAAAAACATCTAACCTATGGAGCTATATGGAATCATCGCCTAAATATCTAATGGCTTGCTGTCTTTGTGGAGAGTCACCTAATATTATTGGCCTCAACATCCATACTTCATATTCTCAGTCAAACATCATCTTAAACTGGCAACAAGGAAAGTGCAAGGAAAAACTCGGCATCTTAAAGAGTTTAAGAATCCCTAACGCATAGATGGATTGAATCCCTTACATTCCCCACTCAATAATGGAGTTGCAATTCAATCCGTTGCTTGAAATTTCATCATCAAAACAGTGCTTGTACACAAATCTTATTTGTAAATAAATTCACCAACATAATAGGTGATGTAATTATTTTAAGATTTTTCAAAATAAGGCAATATCTTATCACTAAGAAATGAGGATATATTGATTAGGACTATTTAAAAAATTGGTTTTGCCTGTTTGATTATGTCTGACCTAATAATTAACTCAACTTCGACTGGTAATTATAAGCTCGTTTGTTTAACAAGAAAAACACAAACAATAACTTGTTTGGTTAAAAAGCCAGCTCGAGCTTGACTCGTTAGCAAGCGCGTTTATTAACGAGCTAGAGTTTAAGCTTGCTTAGGCTTGACTCGTGAACCAGCTCGACTAGCCGATCGATGGTCATATCGATGCCTGCTCTAACAAGCAGTCTTGACACTTCTTTCTCTATCTGTTGACTTTAATGATCTCCGATGATAATATCATTTTAGGCTTGAGCTTGCGAGCCTGCTGTCATCAATGTGAGTTGAGCGAGCTTGCATTTTGACAGACGAGTCAAGCACAGACCAAGCTCGAGTTAAGCATAACTATAGCTCGGTTGGACTCATTTACACCTTCACTTTGGTCTAATAGGGCTTTTTATTGGCTTTTCAGCTGCATCAAATGGTAAATTGTAATGACAGTTTTATCGGTTTGAGGTTTGAGATTACTTAGTACATGGAAAAAATATTGATCGGGTAACGTAACTCCCTCTGATCATAGTGTATGTCTGCCCCATTCCAGGTTTAGTCATACAGTAAGGCTTCTTGTCTCTTCTTGTGGAGCCGTGTTGTTCAATGTTGTTTGCCCTATCATCCAACCCTACTTATACCCTTTGGATTTCGTAACCTCATCTTATGTGCAGCCCTCATGGCCTTCTAGTTGGGTGCTTTGTTTCTAATCACAAAGTATTACATTCAAGCCCTAGCACATTTGGGTGTATATATGAGCTAATAAAAAAAAAATTGCCTTGCCTTTGTGAAAATTTGCTTCATTGTTTGCCCTTTATAATAGAAAGATGTCAAGAGTGATATTTTCCACTTGGCTTATTTGTGTTCACATTGCAGTGATGTTCAACTTCTGCTGGTGTTTGGTTCATATGTTTTATTGTTGGCCTATCTACTCATATCATCTTGAAGGCTGTAATTTTACAGAAATCAGGTTGATCTTGTTGAGATCTGTTTGAAAGAGTG